ACTGCATGGACACGTGCATAAAAAATGAGAGGGTTGTCACAGCTTGACACATAATTAGCAGCAACGTCACTTCTATGGCAAGTACACACACGAACAGACGTAAATTACTCTATGCAATTTATGGATTCGCTTCAAATGATACTGACATATCTAGACACATGGCCTAGTTCCCTCTTTGCTTTACCTATATATAATTCCATCTCCTGTGTCCTTGACCTGCCCTCCTGAAATCCCCTTATCCTAGTTTTCCCTTTATTCTCTCACCATTTTTCAGCCTCCCACTCACCTTTCCTGCTACTCTCTCTTTGTCCTTCATCATCAGTTACTCTTTCAGTGTTTTCCCATTACTTACCCGAGCGCTCTTGATCCGAACTCTCTTCACTCTCTTTCAGTCAGTCATTAAGTATCTCTTCAAATGTTTTTTGTACTGGTGCTCATGCAAGTCTCATTTCTGTTTTCCCACAGTATGCCTCAGCTGGATGTCTGCTGTCCCTTCACCACAGCGAGAAGCCGGAGCACGAAGAAGTCTGTGAGTTCCGCCCCTACACCTGCCCATGCCCGGGGGCTTCCTGTAAATGGCAGGGCTCCCTGGAGGCCGTCATGCCACATCTCATGCATGCCCACAAATCCATTACCACCTTACAGGGCGAGGACATTGTCTTTCTGGCCACGGATATTAATCTACCGGGGGCTGTGGACTGGGTCATGATGCAGTCATGTTTTGGCCACCACTTCATGCTGGTTCTAGAGAAGCAGGAGAAATACGAGGGACACCAGCAGTTCTTTGCCATCGTGCTGCTCATTGGCACGCGAAAGCAAGCGGAGAACTTTGCCTACCGCCTCGAGTTGAACGGCAACCGTAGGCGGCTCACGTGGGAGGCCACGCCGCGCTCGATCCATGATGGCGTAGCAGCAGCCATCATGAACAGTGACTGTCTTGTGTTTGATACCTCTATTGCCCACCTGTTTGCAGACAATGGCAACCTGGGTATCAACGTGACCATCTCCATGTGCTGAGGTGGCAGCGTAAGGCTTTATCCAGTGACCCAAACCTTGGACAACCTCTGCTCCCTATCAGACTGCAGGTTCTGAAGGCAACGGTTGGGAGATGTATACATTTGTGTATATTTCGGTTCAAGAGTCATCCGCTAAAACAGCGCACACTTTCCAGATTCACAAGTAGGTTAGTTTGCTAGGTTAGGATGACAAGAGTCCTTCTCGAGATGAAGCGGGGATTTGCAGGTGTTAGCAACCCGTTGAAGGCATTGGTGCAATTGAGAATTTCTTTTTCACACCCCAAGGATACAAACACCGCAACTTTCTGATTACACCTTCAGTAGAAGTTCAGGTGTGGATAAATACCATCACAGAATCAAAATGCTAACTTGGGAAGAGTCTAGGCATGAAGGTGTAACATTTGCCTCAGAAGCTTCTAAAACCTATGTTGTACAAAACTGCACTACTTTTCGTCTATGGATATTGCGTGAAGCCATGGAAATTGTACATGGCAATGTAAATGGTAATCCTCTGAATTTCATGGTTGTATATTGGCTTGATAAAACAATGCCCATGGTGGAAATGCAGTGTGCATGGTGGAAATAAAATTCACTTGCAAAAATGAGTATATAGCCACCATGTTTTTAAGGCAAGAATCTGACCTCTTCACTATGTTTTTTCCTTCCTTCCTTCCTTCCTTTCTTTTTTTTTAATCTGTCGTCAATGTTGCAAGACGTAATGAGGACAATACTTAGTTTATTTTATGGTCCTTATCCAGAGTAGAGAACTGGTTTGTGATCAACACAAATATAAGCTCAATAAAATGACAGAACTACAGCCAACCATTTCAAATTTTGTTACCCATGATCTAATGCCACAATTTTTTTTTAAAGGGATAGTTGGCCTATAAATGATAGATCTGTTATTTAATTGCCCTCATTTTCTAACACTTATTTGCGGAGCACCAAAGGAGAAGTTAAGTAGAATATCTCCGCTGTTCTCTAGCAGAGGACAAAAAGCACCATATAGACCATACAATCTGTGCTCTATATTTCAAGTCTTCTGAAGCCATATGATAGCTTTGTTAGAGGCAGACTGAAATGTAAGGCTTTTTACTGAAAATATCTAATTGTATGAAAAAGAGCAGCTCACACATTTTGCTAGATGACTTCTATACAGGTTTCAATAACACAAGGTGAGGAAATGACCAAATTTCTATTTGTTAATGAACTATTTATGTTATATAGGTGTTCCACCTTTGTGTTTTAGCATACTTTGTCTTGTCAACAGTGACTGTATGTAAAAGATTTAGCCTGTGCACAAACAACAACCTGTTATTTTCTCGTTGATAAAGTGTCCGCATTTAATTGGTTTTGTTGTCTTTGTACTTTTTCTTACTTTATATTTGAGGTTATCTTTAAGGTATCTTTAAGAAAAGCTTTTGTAAAAATATAAACAACTTTAGTTTTGTTGGTATTTGTTGTTACTGTTACGTCTCTTACAAAATGATCATTTAGTCTAGCTTTGTTTACTCTAGTTCTTTCAAACCCGGTAAGATCTGAGCAATTTCTCACTCTCCTCTTTGATCAGTGAACCCACACAATGCCTTACTAGTATACAAACTCAGTCTTTTAGAGCCTACCGCCTTCTAGGACTCAGTGTCAAGTTCAGGTCACTATCCTCCAAACCTCCAGTCCTGAAAGAGACTTAAATTTTACAAAGTGGCATTTTGAGTGGGAAGGACATGGCACGTCATTCTACTTTGCCCCCAGAACCTGCTGCAGTAACCGTTTCACTTACACTGATCAAGTACGGAACCCAGCCTCTTTTCAAATACCTCTGATGACTTTGGAGATGTCTGTGCGAGAAGAGCATTGATATCTCTGAATGTGGGTGGTTCTGTGAAGAGATCTCAAGTTTGATGCACAACTGACGCTCTCAGCTCTTCTTTATATGTCTGCTGTTTTACTCCTGAAAAATAATTAAAAAATGTAAATTAAATGTTTTATAAATCTGTTGTGGAGCAAATGTATTGATTTGTAGATTTTTTTTTTTTTTACATTTAGAGACCCATAGGACAAGATAAAAGTGTGCTCATGTGGTCAATGTCTCCGCTCCTCAAACACGTGGACAGACTCTCGTCCCCGATGCTTGTTCTCTCTACATGCAGTTGTCATGGCAACTAAATATGCAAATGAGAAATCTAGCTCATTCATTCCTAGAAGAAAATTCTTGTATTTTTTATTTTTTTTAAATGTTCTTGATTAGTCTGAAATCACTTTTTCACACCTTTTTGTAGATTACTTCAAAATTAGTGAATCTGTCATGGTATTTACAGGTCTTGGATCATTCCTCTAAAGATCGATAAAAAATTATGCAGTTGAACCAAATGGATGGTGACTGTACAACCTCTATCATTTTAAGTCCTGCATAAAAATATCAAATGCATGTTGAACAGGACAAAGTACCTGCATGTAGATCACAAGCCCTGAAGGAAGCTCCAAGCTTCCAGGTCTATGGGGCATGACTCCTACGGCATTGGGATGACAATGCAAAGCTTGTGCAATAAAGAATAACAATTTAGTCACAGAAAACCGAACCATGTTCAGTTCGCACATTTAACCTAATCCGTTTCTATTTTCTAATAAAACACTGATATATTCTGATGTCTTAATTCTGATATGACCATCCACTTCTTGTAGCTTGTTGTAGCTCCAAGACATCGACAAGACGTATACCATGTCAAAAGAGACCACCAGGCATCTGTCTCTCTCCCACGGCATTTTAGACTCCCCTACACAGAAGTGAACACAAAACTGAATAAATACATTTTAATGAAGTGAGCAGGTGGTTTCCTGAGCTGTGTGCCATGCCTCGCAATCAAGCCATCACGATCAATATTGAGCACCACATCCTAATGAACTTGCGAATAAACAAGTCAAGGACTAGAATACTTAACATTCACGGCAATGAAATGAGATGTTTCCTGTGCCAACCCAGTGATACAAATATTAGCATGTGCGAGTTTACAGGTCCATCAATATGAAAAACCCTAACCATAGTTATTTCAAATGCATGATTTGAAGAAAAAGTATTTTAAATAAATAAAGGTTAAAGTCACAATGAAACACAAGTACTGACATCTTTTCTTCGGTACCGTGATGTACATCTGAGTGAAACGGATTATCAAAAAAGAAAAAAATGTAGGGTGGAAACTTGGTTCAATCCATTGACTGTTGAATAAATTTAGGCAAATCTGCTGAATGTGAGCTTGTTGAGCATTCAAGTCCTCCAGGGAAGTTCATATTTACAAGTTGGGAAGTCGTAATTATGATGCTGTGTGCATTCAAAATCGACTTGGTTGAAGTAAGATGGCAATGTAACGTTCCTACAAAATGGAAAGTTAAGCAAGATTCTCCACTTCAAAACTAAGAATAAAGAATGTGCATCTGTGCACATTTTGCTTTTTAATGTTCTTATTCAATTCAAGAAGGTTCTGTAAATTGTTATATACTCTATCATGATTGTACAATAATATCGTATTTTTTGTACATGCTTCGTTCGCACCATGTCAGGTTCTAAGCAGGCGTACAAACTTTTCCTTGTGGCAGAGTCGTAGTACTACAGGTATTTGGAAATCTTAGAAAATCACAGGGTAGGTGAGTTTGATCAGGGTTGGAGCTAAATTCTGCAGTGCACTGGCCCTCCAAGGCAAGATTTGAGGAACCCTGATTTAGATGTTGAGTGGTGCTGTTTTATATGCAGTTGCTATTTATAGATTTCACATCTGGAAGAGAGGCATGCACATGGTTTTTGTGCGTACGTTGGAATCACACGTACGCACATTTGAGAATTGAGATTTGATCAAAGGTAGGACAGTTTCTATGGAACATTTTATAAATGAGGCTCCTGAATTTCCCACTCGTAATTATGACTTTGTGGTGGAATTCATGCGCGTTCAACTCGTAAATACAATATTTCAGAAAAGATTTTATTGCACCTTTGCAGTCGATTGTAAGAAAAGTGTAGTTAAATAAATTGTTCACAAAAAGAACATGCATTTAGAAAATAGATGAATTTATTACGTGCATAACATCTTGTAAACAAAACCTGGAACATATACTATCCATCTCACAGAAATCACAACCACTTCAATAGTCAGTACTGCAATATATTAGTCTTGCTTTCTCACCCAATTCTACTTATAATTTCTGTTTTTAGAGGCTATAGTAATATAATTTGCAGTATTGAATGTTGTTGCTGCAGAAAGCTAATATTTTGCTTTCGACCTGTTCCTTTAACTATTATTTAACATTCTCATGGTAAATATTCACGATTTAGTTTGGAAAATACTGACTGTGGCTAAAATGTCAATAAGATTGCTTACAACTACAGAAGATGGCTACATCCAAAGATGATCTGTTTGTATATTTAGATGGAGTTCCATTAAGAACTAGCGTGAACATCTTTTTATCTCTGTTTTTTGATAGCTTATTGAAAATGGGGTTGGTGATCAATGTAGTCTAGCATGTGAGCATTGCAAGGAGGGACATCACACAGGGGTAACACAACAGCATACACTATTAAAGTTCAGTGCAAACAGATACTGTATTTGACCTTTAACCTTGAGTATTGACTTGAACGTTTAGTGTCTGTGAGGAGTCACATCTGCAGTACTCCTGATTGGCCAATTATGAATACTTCGTATTTGACCGCTCATGAATTGAGCAGATCATAGTAACTCGTGGTTATAACAGATTGACTTAAGGGTGATTCGCTTAATTTACTGTATTAGAAGCTGTGCTAACTGTGTAATGTTTTGCTATGAAAAGAAATTGGGCATGAAAGGAAGTGTGATTTTTTTTAATCAGGCTAGATTTCCAATAATCACACCACACATTTTAATGTTCAACTTCGTGTTTATTACTATTGAATTCTGTGTGTGTTTATTTACTCAGTATATCTGCGTAATTGTTTTATCTTTTCTTGCTAGGTTATTGAATATGTTGTCGTGGCCATAGCGATCATAATTATTCATTAGCGATGAAATGCTGTTTCCTGTTGAGCAGGTATAAATGGGTAATGTACACATCTGCTTGGTCTGATATTGTTGTTTTTTTTTAACTGAACACACTTAACTAAATGTCTTTTAATAGTTTTACAACTGAATCCATGATTGGTGTACTTTGATTGCATCATAATTTTGGAGTTTATTGTTGACAGTGTTAAACAAGACATTTTTGGTCTTTGTACCATTTAAATTCAAATAAAATTTGAATTTATTTGTCAAATGAGTGTACTGTGTGTAACATGATGCCAGGTAGCCATTATACAGTTAATTACTGCAGACAGATATTAAAAAATTCTATAAAAAAAAAAAAAAATTCTAACCCCCCCCCCAAATATATAAATGACTATCTCTGCTCAATTTCGCCTGTGTTCTCTTTCACGACTGTGATCTCTGTGTTTGGTAAACCCTCGGTCATTTCCTCTGTCTCGCTCCCTTCTGTCTCTATCACGTTCCCTTTCTCTCTCACGCTCTCTTTCCCCATTATTCTCTCTATCAACACCCCTTCCTTTGTCTCTTTCTCTGTCTCCCTGCCGTGTGTCTTCATGTCTTTTATCCTCTCGGTTTCTGTCTGTCTTTTTGTCTTCTTCTCGATCCCTTTCCCTCTCACCTCTATACCTATCTCTGAATCTGTCCACCTCATCTGCTCTGTCTTGTGGGTTCCTGAAGTCTTGTCCCGATCTGTCCCTTCTGCTTCCTGCCGGTCCTTTCGCGGCATACTTCTCGTATGCCGTGTCCTCCTTCTCCTTCTTCACTCTGACAGGAGATGATGTTGACGGCTCAGTCCGTGCCTCATGTTTCTCTTCCTTTAGTGCTTTTTTCTTCTCTTTCTTCTTCTTTTTCTTCTCCTTTTTATCTGAAGTATAACAACATAAATCAGTCATTTAGTCAAAAAACAAAAATACTGTTTATTAAATAATAAAAGATAAACATCTTGAAAAAAATCATATCAAATGAACAAATATAACCTCTTTTCACCTTTTTTTGGCTTTTTCACAGGTACAGCATATTCTTCCTCGGACCCTGACTCAAAGGAGGAAGGCAGGGGCACTTTAGGAGCACATCCCTCTTCTCGCAAACATTTAGTGACATCATCAATGTCTTCGTTGTCCTTGGGTGGTCGATAATTTGCTACATGGTCCACACGTATGGTTCGCCCCTTAATCTTTAAAACAGAAAAAAAAAATTAAACAAAAATATATGCAACACATGGGTCAATTACATGACACTATTATTTCCCCGATATACGAGTTCCTTTCTTAATGAATGAATGAATGAAATAAAATATAATAATTTGACCTCTTTATAACAAACTAGGGCTGGGCGATATGGGCAAAAATATTATCACAATATATGTATTTTCCATATCATACAATATTAATATTTGTCACGATATTAATTTACCGTTAATGGGGAATTAAATACTGTCCACATGTTTTTAGGCCTTGAGAATAAACAAACATAACTTTGTTCACAATAATAATAATAATAAAACAATTAAAAAAAAATTCAGGGCCCCATGAAATCGGTTTTATTTTTTCCTTAAAGGGGTCATATGATGCGATTTCAATTTTTCCTTTCTCTTTGGAGTGTTATGAGCTCTTGGTGCATAAAGAAGATCTGTAAAGTTGCAAAGAGTAAAGTCTCAAATCCAAAGAGATATTCTTTATAAAAGTTACGAGTCAACCACGCCTACTTAAAACAGCTCGTTCTAACACGCCCCCACATGTCTACGTCACGATGTGGGAAGATTAGCATAACGCTGCCCAAATGTTCATGCAAAGAAAGGCGGCGTAACTTTTATTCTCGCTGTAGTATTGTTGTGTAAAAATCTACGCGTTTCAGAAAGGCGGGGCATAGAGGAGAAACAATAATGTACAGTATGTGGAAAAGAATGTTTTTTTAACCTTAAACCACATAAACACATTTCATTACACCAAATACACAAAATAATGTTCTTTTTAGCAACATCATATGACCCCTTTAATTATTTTTTCCATTTTATGTTTTTCTAGATTTTGTGTTTTATGATTCAATACAAATTTATCATTAAAAAAATGGTGTCTAATGAAATGAATTAATAAATCATTAACAGCTTGATCATTCTTTTAAAATGTAATGAAATTAAATAAATTTACAACAAAACATTTCATTTTTGTTATTTTCTTTTTAAAATTCCATAAAAAGAATAATAATAATAATAATAATATTACTACTATTATTACTTTGAGAATTATATTTTAGTATACAATAGTAATATATTTCTGACAGTTTCTTCAAGTTAAACCAGACTTTTAATTTGACGTGTTATCGTGAAGTTCTTTCAGTTTTACTTTCAGTTTTTTCCAAATGAAACAATCATGCAGACTTATTAGCGGCATACATGGACTGGCTGCTTTACTTCTGCTGTGTAATAGACTGTAAGATTAAGCCATATCAAGTAAAAATGTCCAGAGCTTATCATCTTCAACTAAATTTTACCACAATCTCGATATGATATTGTTTTATCACCCATCCCAGGTAATATTGTAAAACAACAACAACAACAAAACTTTTAACTCTGAAATATATCTTTTAAAATGTTTAAATATTTTTCCAACTAAAAATCAAGGACACTAATAAACAACGTCACTGACCCACATCTATCATTTACCAATTTAAATTTTTATATACATGTAAGAACATTAAATATGATTATTTTAACACATAGAACATAGTCCAGTAGTAAACACACAACTGAATAAGCAACTGGAAGAAGCCTTTCACCTTGATTCCATTAAAGTTATCCACAGCCAGAATGGTGCTCCTTTGATCTTCATAGCACAGGAAGCAGAATCCTTTGGATTTGCCCGTCTTTTTATCTCGCACCAAGTTGATGTTGGCAATCTCTCCGTACCTGAGACGCACAGAGGAGGATCAAGCTTTACTAGGAGGAAAAAAAACTGAAGTGCTGACTTCTTTAGCAAGAAATGAAAACGTGTTTGAAATGTAGGCAAAAACATGGGGATGAGCAATTAGGACTTACTGAGAGAAAACACAGATGGCGTCTCCTTCTGTCAGCTCATATGGAAGTCCACCTGTAGATTACAACATATTTACATACAGTGCTGACTGGGTTGGCATTAAAATAAATACATAATTCACTAATAAAATGTCGTTACATTTTTTAACGGTTCTCTTTAGTCTGGCAAATATATGCGAGCAATGAATATACATCACTTTGAAACTTGACAAGGTCAAATCAGGATTACAGTACTGTGTACTAGAATGGGCTTCAGAGAAAGACTGAGATCATGCCATTTTGTACAGAAGCACGCTTAATCAGTGTCAAATAGGTGAATGCTGCCACCATCTGGCAGAATATAGCCTATCCCAGGGATCTCCAACCCTTCTCCTGGAGAGCTACTTTCCTGCAGACTTCAGTTCTGCTTCAACACACCTGTCAATTATTTTCAAGTAACTCTAAAGACCTTGTAAAGCTGGTTCTGGTGTGTTTGATCAGGGTTAGAGCTGAAATCTGCAGGACAGTAGCTATCCAGGCGCAGGGTTTGAGACCCCTGGCCTATGCAGAGAGCATTTTAGTGTTTAGTCTAAGAAGCCCATTGCCCAGTATTGTTAAGCAGTCACATACCGATAAAGATCCAGGCGCTGTCCTTATAGACTGAATGCCAGGACACACTGTCTTTGACATCAAGTTCAGCCTCTTTTTCATTCAGTTCATTGATGAGTTTCACTTTGGTGAGCGGACTGCATATAAACAACAGAGATAAAATGAGCATATCTTTTGTTCTGTACACAATTTATTGTCTGTTATTATTGTTATTCTGTTGTGGCGTCTGCATCATAAGATCAACGTGTGTAAGAATTTATGATTCTTCTATCAGGGGTTATTTAAGACTAATTGAAGTCGTGAAAAATGAAATGCTTAAACATTTTATCACAAATATCTAAATGTGGCAATAAAGTAACCTGTAATGTAACAAGGATGTTTTTTTTTTTTTTTACTATGTATTCCGAAAGAGTAGTCGTCTTAGTGTTTCATTTACGTTAACCCGTTTACTTTTCTTGTCATTTGTCGGTGTCCCATAAATTAATCAAAAAGAATAACTGAATCGAGAATAAGGAAAGTAGTTTACGTTCATGTTTTAGCAGATGAATAATTAGCATTTGGCTACTACTGCAAAAACTGAGGCCAGTTATTTAGATTTCAACTTCCTGTTTCAATCCTGACCGGTCTAGGAATTTTCTTAGACTAATTAGAAACATATGACAACAAATGCACGCGAGATATTTCAATTCAAACGTTCAAAACATCACTTACTTCATTGTGATGAGCCCCAGCCACTCCGGAACGATTTATTTCGGCAAGTTTTCGAAGTTCGCACGTGGTACTATTTTCTTCCGGGTTAGGAACAAAGGATTGTGGGATATGTTGTTGACTGGCTCAGGTTAATTGTGCAGTTTCTGCGTTATCATTACTTATGCTGCTGTTCAAGTCCTCCTGGGACGTTCGTACTTACCAGTTGACAAGTCGTAATTACGACGTCAGGTGCGTTCAAGTCAGTTTAGTCGGCACAAGATGGCGGCTATCAATTTAAACAAAAATTTACTGTCAACTACAGAAGTTGCATCCATCGATTCCGCCATGTTTCTCACTGACACACCCCCAACTCGGAAACTCCGGGCTTAAAGAAAATTTCGAGTTTCCCACTCGTAATAACGACTTTTTGGAGGCGTTCATGTGTGTTCAACTCGTAAATACGATCTATCCGACATGACTTGAACGCACCATTATTGTGTGTTTGTAGCTTAGAGTGTATTTCTCAAAATTTGCTATTGATTTCGCAGCTGAAGGCCTGAAGCAAACACTGATAGTTTTATTTGCATAAAAGGTCTTCAATAAATTAAAATAGTAGCCTAAACAGTTTGGTTGGTGTATATAGGCCTGGTGTATAGCCTATGGAACCCGGACACCAGTGGCAGGAACACTGTGGCAGGGACCTTTGGGAAGCTCTGGGTGACTACATTATTTAAACATGTCTGCGTGCTGCAGAACTTAAACTAAAACTTAACTATAACTAAACTAACTATAATACATACTCATAGGCAAGCAGTCCTGCAAGACACTAAAACAATTGCATCAAGCCAAGGCAAAGATGAAACCAAGGCATGCCAGCCCCGCAAGACACTAAGGCTGGAGGGATGGAAGGGCCACCCATACAGTATCAGCCTGCCAGTCGCAAGGCTGACTCTCCCAGTGTTGGGGAGTAACTAGTCAAATGGGATTTTGTAATTTAATTACAAAATAAATGTAACTGTAATCTATTACAGTTACTGAGAAAAAAAAAGTGTAATTAAATTACAGTTATTTATGAAAATGTTAGTGATTACAAAGGGCACTAAATCTGAATATTTTCTGAAAAAGCTAGGATATGTTGAATAATATTAATTTGTTGCTTTGACTGTTTTTGATGTGCATGATGCCTCCTGCCATTTAAAGGCGATTTAGTAAAGTGATGCTATTCTGGTCCTTTTGATTGGGTTGCAATTGAATTTGCAGCACACCACATCTGTCAATTACATCAATCCACATTGCCGCTGAAAGCTACAAACTGTCTAAGAGTTGCCACCATGGCGAGTGATAAAAATGTGTTCCAGTGTTTTAAAAGTGCATTCCAGTGCACTTTTAAAACAGTAAACCTCTGTTGTGCAGCACTTTGTTTGCCAAAAAATAAAAGGGTTTAATTTTCATTTGATTCGGATAAATAAATGAAATTATTGTTTTATGCCTTCATCTGATTACCAGAAAAATTAAGAAGAACGTTTTATTAGAACGTTTTATTTATTTTATTATTGTTGAAAAAAGGACCCTATACAAAAAAAGAATAGGTTTAAAATACAGGCCTGTGGCTGTTAATTTCTTTTTATTAATTCACCATTTGTAAACTGATCTTTACTGTTAATTTTTTAGAAATATCAATAGCATTTGTATTAAAACTATATTCACTGAATGTAATCAAAAAATCGAGAATCGAATCGAGAGCTTGCGAATCGGGACATCTGAAGTGAAGTGAAGTGACATGTGGCCAAGTATGGTGACCCATACTAGGAATTAGTGCTCTGCATTTATCCCATCCAAAGTGCACACACACAGCAGTGAACACACACACACCGTGAACACACACCCGGAGCAGTGGGCAGCCATTTTTTTGCCGCGGCGCCCGGGGAGCAGTTGGGGGTTCGGTGCCTTGCTCAAGGGCACCTCAGTCGTGGTATTGAAGGTGGGAGAGAGCACTGTACATTCACTCACCCCACCGACAATCCCTGCCGGTACGAGACACAACCTTTGGGTTACGAGTCCAACGCTCTAACCATTAGGCCACGACTTCCCCTATCTGAATCGATACTCAGCCCTAGTTCTCACTCTTCTCAAAGTACTCAGGAGGGCAGTACCTTGCTGTCCTGGAGGACGGAAGTTTGTTTTACCACTGCATGTTTTGTCACTTTACTCTGACCTCATTTAATTTAGTCTATGAAAACACTATTATGATTGGCTTTTTTTTTTCGCTCCACATTCTCATCCTGAGCTTTGGTGGATTTGAGGTGGGACAAACAAAAGAAAAAAGAGCCAAACCTCCAAAACCTCCTTGAGGTCGGTGGGTGTGATTGGCCCCATGTACACACTCCTCTCCTCACTCTTTTCTCTCTACGAGACCGTTGTTGTCCCATGATCAACACGATAAAACACTATCAACAACTGAATAGGCTACACAATGTAAACACTGTTGATAACAGCAGGTGAATTTCATGTTTTATATAGTCCAGTGTCACATTTTGAAACCCATACAGAGCTCAAAGCAGGAGATGTCATTAAACGTTAAAACTAGACTATATATATAATATATATATACTGTATATATATATATAGATGATAGATAGATAGATAGATATTTATAACATTTTTCTTATATATTTTAAGTTCTTTAAGCTTAGGCTATTAATCTTTGTGTGGTTCAAAATGTGTATTATTATTAGCATTAGCAGTAGTAATAGTATACAGTATACAATTTCGAAATGTAGTTTTAACATTTTACACAGCACTTATGTAATGAGATTTTAACATGATGTAATGTGCTGCACCTGTATTTTTCTTTTCATTGACCATTAGATTATTTAATAATTTACCTGAAGAAGTGGCTGACAGGAAGTGGTTGGGATTCCTCTCAGAACCACATGTGGGCGGCAGACATTGCTTTTAATACCTTTCTAAATTACCTTTTCAAGTGGTTGCTTCTTTGAATCAGAATATTACGGTGGCCGAGAAGTGCTAAACAAATCACAATTCTGAAAACAAAATAACAAATTACAAACGCAAATGCAAATGAAAGTCTAAAAAACTAAATAACAATTCGTGGCTGCAGTGGCGCAGATGGATAAGCATGTGTCCTTGGCTTTTTAACGCGATCGACCCGGGTTCGATCCCGTCTTTTGCCGAACTTTTTTTCCCTCCCTTTTCAAATCTCGTATTAGCAATGGATTCTATTTACACTAAGTGAAAATAGCGCCACCGTAGAATATACTGGAGAATGTCCTTTTATAGGGGACTACAAATAGCTACAGTACATACTTTTTATGTAGATGTGATATTAATGGTTAGGTCAATATTAAATAATTTTATTTTACTAATTGTACTTTGTTAATTCTATAGAATTATTTATAATTTATATATAAAAGCCAACACATATTTTGTAATATGTACTTCATATAAGTCTAAAATATATATTTTTTTCTACCAGCAATATAAGAGAAACATTTTCAATCGAATTGTTACAATTTTTTTATATAGTGCTGTTCACAATGAATATTGCACAAAACCATTTTACAGAGAATATTGCCCTATCAACAGACATCTTATTGAAAGGACTCATAACCACCGAGGGTCATATAACCATCAGTGGGCAAGATGACCGTAATGATGAGAAAAACCTCCACAAAGATACAACACAAATAGTATTTAATTTATTGCAGTCATATATTTTACAACTGGAAAAAAGTGGAAATGGGAAATAAGTGATTTGGTTATATTTTGAACGTATTGTGTTCAAATAAAGCGGCGTCTGATACTCTGGGCTCCGCATCCATTTAGGGATGTAGCATTTTTCTAAACCTTTTACAGTTTCATGGTCAGTGGACTAAAAGGATATCCTATCTATTGGAAATATTTTCTGGATGTTGTTCAGGAATTGTGACAGACCTATTGTAATTTAATGGGGTGGCTAGCATCTTGTCATGAAACCTTACAGCCTGATTGACAGTCGGGTGGTCTGTGGGGCATCTGTCTGCCGTCTCAGAGTGTGTCACACAACACAACCTGACTTTAATATGAACGAAGATCTCACAGATCTGGCTTCTCACCTCCCGCTGCCAGCAAGCATAAACAAGAGGATTTATTAGGGAGTTTGAGAGCCCCAGCAGCCAGAGATGGTTCTCCAAAAAGTCATAAAGTTCACAGGTTGGACATAATGCCTGCACAATACTGACCACAAAAAAGGGGCACCAGGAGAGTGTGAAGCAACCAATCAGCACGGCAACAGTCCGCAGGGCTTTTACGTGACCCCAGTAACGGCTAGACGTCAGAAAGCGTGAACCTGCTTGCTGGGCACGGATGCGCTTCTGATGGCCACAGGCAATTTTCAGGATGTCCATGTAAAAATAGATGAAGACTGAGAGTAATGGAAAGAAAAAAAGGCAGAAGACCACAATGATGCTCTTTGGCTCTATGACGGAGAAGAACGTGCAGACTTTGTGATAGTCTTCCTTCTGCAACGGTTTCAAAATGCTGGGTGAAAATCCCATAGTCATTGAGATGAGCCAGACGGGAACCAGAGCCCCAGCAATCATCTTACCGTTCATTAACTGCGAATAGCGCAGTGGCAACTTTATAGCTACGTAGCGGTCCAGTGAGATCAAGAACATGGTTAAGATGGAGGCTGCAGAGGGTGCCATGATAAAGGTCATGCGCAACAAACAAATGCCCTTCTCCATGGAGGCCGTCGTTCCTTCGAGAGCATCAGTGGCAATGCCAGTGATAGCCACGCCAACCAGGATGTCCGCTATGGATAGGTTTAAGACAAAACACCAGCTCTGGCAGCCCCTCTTGCGAATGAGGAGGACCAGGGCAATAACGACTAAAAGGTTGGTGGAGATGATCAAAATGGATCCCGCACTAAGAATATAGCCCATGGCCACTACTTCTCTTTCTATCACAGCAGGGGTTGTGAGCTCTGGACTGGGTGCTGTCACTACGTAGTTCTCCCTCATAGTTTCCAAGGATGTCTCCTGAGTCACATTGAAAGCGATCATTGTTGCATACATTTTTTTTCAAAGTTGACAAAATTTTAATAGTTTAAACAGTTTCAAGAGGAATAAATGGACACTAAGATGTAAATGTACTTTTCTCCCATGAAACAAAACATCTTCCTTCTTCTGCTCCTG